CTATCTTGGTGAAAGCTTGCCTGATCACCCACGCTCTTGTCAACGCACTCAGTCTATGTTCTGGTTGCTAATGTATCTGGCATACGTGTGGTTTCGAACTTGGTCGTTCTGGTCGTTTCTGGCTCCCTCGCTCAATCTGGTTCCGTCCTTTTTCTGGTCCAAAGGCCTATAAATGAAATGTTCAGGCTCTGGATACGAGCCACACTGGTGTGGTGAGCTAACTCCAGCAGTTAACCCGGCAAGTTACAACGGGTGCAGTTCAACGAAGAAAACTTTCGGTGACAACCCGAGCTTCATTAATCGCTTCCTATTCGTCAACCCTTCCGCACTACAGTCGCAAGTTAGACGATCATCCCCCCCCAGCACGAAGCCCCTAGGTATCGAAAGTGTGAACCCTTTCTAGTGCCGCTGCTGTAGTGGAACACTTCTACAAAGAAAACTGGATTGGTGAAAAATAAACAATTATTATTGTACTCATTTTTGTTTAACTGTACCAAAAACACTACTTGCGCGCAACGTTCTTTTTCGAGTTGCTGCCATCTTTCATAGTTGCTGTTTGATGTAACGGTAAAGAGCAGTATTGTCTAACGAAACCCAGTCTAGCGAGGACGCTTGACCGAGCCTCTTCAATCAAGAGTGTATCCAATGCACTCAATACTGTCAGCATTAATGTTGAAGACGTAAAATAAAGGTGAAAGGGGTTTATCGGCTTTACAAGCTTGAATGAGCTTGTGATTCGCCACATTCCGTTTAGTCATCTAAAGTCGAATGTAATTTTCTTTAACCAGTCACCATTAAGAGGATATCTGCTAACGTGACGCTTATCCTCGTGGAGTTGAATTTATAGTCTAAATCGTTGATAATTCAACAACATTAGTTGCTTCCTCAACTAAAGCCCAGAAAAAGTGCGATTTCTTGTTCACCCTCAGGGCATTTCCGAGTAACTTTCTCACTTCCTTACATATACTTAGAGTTGGCAACGTTCTTGATGTAGGTCTCTGTTCAGGTTGTCCTCAGTAGAACAGTATATAAGGAAGTTATTGTTAATATTAAGCCAAACTTTCAACATCTAAAATACGATAATCTGAAATGTAAAGGTTGCTTTAATTCTGGAAATAATTGCATAATTTAGGTATAAAGTTTCGGTTCTAAGAGGATGGATTTGGCTTCCTCGTAACTACCTGTACCAGGCTATTAAATGAACCTTCTACTTTATTGTACTCAAGGTAGAATATTGGTTTGATCTAATTAGCGAACAAAAACAAAGCCTTTAATGTTTGTTTTTATTGCTTTAGCTGTTTGTGATACTTACTGCTTAATAAACACTCAGACACAGCTGATAGGTGGTACATATATATTATTAGTTTTCTATCTGAGCTTGGAAGCATTTATATTATTTCCCTGAATTGTCGTACCCAGCTTTCCACACGTGCTTTCAAGATGGGAATCGGCGGTAGGAAGATGTAGGAAGGCAAGAGTATGAAACAAAAAAATGTGAGTGCTCTGAGCGGGCTACCCAATACCATATTAGTGGGGGACGGTATCAGAATCATAGACCTATTCAACTATTTTAGTCTTTTCATGATGTGACTATTTAATCTTTAAGATCTTACTTGTAAGTCACATCACTGTTTAATCTGACTAGTTTTATCATGTCAGCAAGAGGCATTCTCTTTAATACACATTCAGGATTAGCAGTTGGTTTTAAAATAAGACCAGAATTCCTCTTTGAAACAGCTTGGGAAGGATTTATGAATTCGTGCATAAATTTTGCTTCAACAGGCCGCATTTCGTAAGGACCGATCGTGTACTGACCAAATTGCTACATTACGGATCATTGTGGAACAATCAATTGAATGGAACTCACCACTCTACATCAACTTCATCGACTACGAGAGAGCATTCGATAGCGTGGATAGGAAAACACTGTGGAGGCTTCTTCGACACTACGGTGTGCCTGAGAAAACAGTTAACCTCATACGAGATTCTTAGGAGGGATACAACTACAAAATCATGCACGAAGGACAGCTTACAGACTCGTTCGAGGTGAAGAACGGTGTCAAGCAAGGTTGCCTAATCTCAGCCTTTCTCTTTCTCCTGGTGATCCACTGGATTATGAAAACGTCAACATCAGGAAAGAATCACGGTATCAACTGGACAGTTAGGACGCAGCTCGACGATCTGGACTTCGCAGATGACCTCACTCTTCTATCGCACACTCAACAACAAATGCAAGAGAAGACGACCAGTGTAGCAGCAGCCTCTGCAGCAGTAGCTCTCAACATACATAAAGGAAAGAGCAAAATTCTCCGATGCAACACAACATGCACCAACCAAATCACTCTTGATGGAGATGCTTTCGAAGACGTTAACAACTTTACATATCTGGGCAGCATCATCGACAAACAAGGTGGATCGGATGCAGATGTGAGGGCACGGATTGGCAAAGCAAGGGCTGCATTTCTACAGTTGAAAAATATCTGCAACTCCAAACAACTTTCAACCAAAACCAAAATCAGGATTTTCAATACAAATGTGAAGACAGTTCTACTGTATGGAGCGGAAACATGGAGAACTACCAAAGCCATCATTCATAAGATACAAGTGTTTGTTAACAGCTGTCTACGCAAAACACTTCGTATTCGTTGGCCAGACACGATCAGCAACAACGTACTGTGGGAGAGAACAAACCAGATTCCAGTGGATGAGGAAATCAGGAAGAAGCGGTGGAAGTGGATAGGAAACACACTACGAAAAGCACCCAACTGCGTAACGAGACAAGCCCTCACATGGAACCCTCAAGGCAAAACGAAAAGAGGAAGGCCAAGGAACACACTACGCCGAGAAATAGAGAAAGATATGAGAGGAAAGAACAAAAATTGGACAGAACTGGAGAGGGAAGCCCAGGACAGAGTTGGTTGGAGAAAACTGGTGGGCAGCCTATGCTCCATTGGGGGTGAGAGGCGTAAGTAAGTAAGTAAGCATAAATTTTGCTGCATTGAACGTTAATTGAACTGCATCAAGAAATTTGAGGTCCTCATTTGTTAATGAGTCTACAGAGTGCCCAGAACGCTTAAACTGGTTATTAAATCAAAGGATTAGCAGAAAAGGCTGCATTGCAGCATTTCTTGCAGATACTTGAACCATGTCGGTAGTCGAAGAGGACTACCGACAGATCGTAAGCTATAAGTATTTTAGCAACGTATATACCATGGTCAAATAAATACTCCAATTCATACTCTGCTTACTACGACTGTCGAAAAATCCGGTCATTAGTCCCTTAAATAATATTGATATGGGTAGATATATATGACCCGATTAAATGCAGGCTATACGGCTTAAGGGACTCGCAAATGTGATCATGAATTTTCAGAATATGTTTTTACCTCTCTGTTTCTCGGGATAGAACAAAAAGCTTGGATGAACACCATGGTAAATACTGACTTCGAAACCTGTGAACTACCAATCACCAAGCTGAATAGCGAGATTGTTGGTATTATGAAAAAGAATGTACCAAAGTATCTAAATAAAGACCTGATTATTTCTACGAAGCACGTCCATTGTGGTGGAGTCGCAGTTGACTATGATCAACACCACCAAATCAATTACAGGCCGGTCACCAAGAAGAAGGGTTAATCCATAGGGAAGTATATTTTTTCTGCGATTTTTCAGTGTCGAAAGAATACCGAAATCGTGTCAAAAAAGTGGAGCAAATTCAAGAGACAGTAGAGCCAAAATGGCAGCAACAGAAACAGAAAGTTTACGCGTACAGAAGTGGTAATAAACAAAGAGGTTCAGTAAAGCAATCACTGGTTTAATCGGTTACAGTAACGAATATTTCTGTTAAACCAGTTGCGTTCGCTTCATAAAAAATGATTCACTGGACACGACTCTAAAACAGCTTACTCGTGTATTACAAACTTATTAGCAGATCTTGAAAATTGATGTGTTCTGAAAAATCAAAAGCAACCTATTGATGAAACTGTGATTCGGTTTAGCTAACTAAATTAGATAAAGGATCAGCATAAAGTAGGGGTAAACTCAGAAGTGTCTAGCTAGGAGACTGCGATTTGCTAGGCTCCTCAGGGTATAGTTTGTGAGCAAAATGTTGTTCCTCTTGTTAGCAAATGAAGTCCCTAGTATCCTGTTATTGTCGGTTTTATTAGATGTTAATGTCAGTTATTTCCATAACCAACCAAACAAATCTTGGTGTAAGCACTCGCCACGTGATCTGGTCTGACGTGTCTGTAAACTATCTTTGTTGCAAATGGCTTACTAATTGAAAGACATTATTATCTTATTATATTGATGTGACTCATAATTTATTCATTCCCATAAGGCAGGCCATATTGGTCGGTATATTTGCTCGTTTAACTTGACAGCCGTAATTTCCTTAATTATTGCTTTTATGTTTAGAAACAGATAAAGCTAAAAGCAACATTGTCCTTGTTCTAACTATAGCTTTCCCACCGACTCAGTATTCCCCAATATTGCGTTCAAAGTTATTGAACTATATCTGTAGGAACAAATAAATCCTACAGTTTACGACACGAAGATAAAAAGTGAAGGTGATAGTTTAGTACATGAAAACGACGTGCATTAACTAAGAAGAAGGTCCAAAACAATAAAAGATAGCCAAATTTATGCAAGTGTACAACCAAAAATTATATGGTTGTTTACTCAGATCGTCATCAGGATTCTTCAACGTTGCAGTTCACATTCATAAAAGCAGATAACTTATATGTATATCGTATATATATATATATATATATATATATATAATCCGAACAATTTAGGTCAAGAGTAATCGAGGAATCTTAGAATGGGATACTGCTTTCCAGACCGAGTGGTCATTGACTGGAACGTTCAACCAGAACTAATTATATCATCCCAATCAGTGAACCCTCTTTAAGAGAAGCTGGATCTTCACTAGCAAACAAGCTACAGAAATTTTATCTCGTTTGCCACCGGACTATCTGCATTACTGAAAACTGGAAATTCAGCGCTATGTTCCAGGTGTACGTTACATCTGGACTTTACCCCTTTTAGTGTGTCGTATCTCATAATGTCCTCCTAGTTGATTTTTCGAAGCATCACTTACTCTGTACTTCATTTTCTGCCATAAAGATATCGTATTTTCGGTTTCCTGGTAAGTAATACACTTTACAATGATAAATCCAAACCATTTTAAAAATATTTTCTTAAAATAATTTGCTTCTGAAGTTAAGTATGAGAAGTATAGCAATAATAAAAGATCTTCTGCCTTCCTTCCAAAAGCCAGCAGAAAGTCTTTTAAACGGCCGTTTCCCTTGAAAAAAAGACAATGATGAAAACCCCAAACTGATTCCGCTTCGTTAATCAATTGATATACTTCTTCTACAGGCTTACTCCGCCTGTTAGTCGAGGAAAATTCAAAAAATCTGTTCTTTTAGATATAGACAGTCTCTTTCCTCGAACCCTTAAGATAATGGAACTATGTTTCCTAGTTAGGCAAAGTATCAAACGTTTAAGTTTGCTCATTTTTTTTTGTTTATCAAAAAGAAACATCAAATATATAGACGAAGGATTCAGTGCAAAGCCGAAAAAATTTTATTTGGTTAGTTCGCCCGTAAAATATAGTGTCACCAGGGTTAATATTCGTCTCATGACCAAGGGTTTAGGGATGGTGTCGTCTCATTTTCTATATTCTATTCCCTGAAATACCTATTAATATTAAAAAAAAACTTGATGAAAAACAGCGTACATGCGACAGTATTGTATCAGTAATTGCACAGACATTGAAATTCTGTTATGAGTGGTTCGGGTCAAGTTCTAGTCTGTTATTCAACTGGCAAGCGTACTCCATGCCAGTTTGTTTCGTAATACTCTAAAATTACTAAATATGCTTTATGAAGTTTGAAAAGGCATCATTAATCCATTCATTCATTACATACGACGTCTTCATCGAACGAGTAATACTGTGACTAAACGCAGGTTATTGAGTAAAATGCTATGCTCACTGATGAGGTTTTAAAGGCCCATCGAATGCAGTTAAGGCGCCTCACACGGTTCTAACCACTTTCTCTGTTGATGTCCAACTCTCACTAGAATAGAAATGGATTAAAAAAACAGTGACTAATAAAATAAAGACATGAAATTTCATTGGATTTGATTTTGCCCTGAACCTTATCGCTAAGTATTGATACCTTGCTTGGTAACAATGCCAAATTAACTCTCGATTTTGTCTCCTAACCACTCCTATTATTCTCAGACTATATCTACACAGCTGCTTAAATACAGAAAGAGGGCGAAGTGCAAAATCGAAGAATGGTAGTAAGAATTTATTTGACTCAAAATAAATCCAAAATGATTATTGAAAACACCACTTTTTATATGATTTATTTACAGTTAGATTAACAGTCAGATTTATACAAGTTTAACTGAGTTGTATATGACATTAACAATTCAGTAATCTACTGTGTAAACATTTCAACAGTTGATCATTCATAAACCTTGTGATGTGGATACATTTCATACACGAATAAAAAACTCACTTTCACGTCATTCGCACTTTGATAGATTAAATTCGAATACTCGCCATACCAGTAGGGACCTGCACAGTAGATGTAATCATCGAGCGAAGACTTTTAATGGGAACAGACCGCACGTGTATAGTAAGAAAGGCAGAGAATGTATGTTATATCAATTAGAAGAGGTGGGGGACCAGTTCAACTGGTCTCCAGCCACACTTCGGTTGCCCACGATCCCCAGTCATCCTGAATGGCAAACCGATTTAAGTCCTCCTAGTCTACATGAAGTTGAGAAAGCTATAGGAAATCTAAAGGGAGGTAGAGCGGAAGGTCCTGATAGGCTTACCCCTGAGATGTTTAAGGATGGCGGTCCAGTTTTAACAGCTAGACTGACCGAGATCCTAGGTAGAATCTGGGAAATGGACGTAATCCCATCTGACTGGTCTCAGTCGCTAATTGTCCCAATCTACAAGAAAGGACAGAAGTCCTCTTGTGACAATCACAGGGGAATAAGTCTAACTAATATAGTTTCTAAATTGTTAGCCTCGATTATACTTAGACATCTAACTAGAGCTCGCGAAGAGCAGACTCGAGAAAACCAGTCTGGTTTTCGAACTGGATGTGGCTGTATAAACCACATCTCCACGCTACAACAGGTCCTGGAACACAGACACACATTTAGACGTCCGACAATAGTCGTGTTCCTGGACCTTAAGGCGGCATTTTACTCAGTGGGTCGTGAGGTTCTGTGTCAGTGTCTGTCATTGAAAGGTGTACCACAGAAGTACATTAACCTTATACAAGCACTCTACTCGAACACCACTGGTCGGGTGAGAGCATATGGCGAACTGTCATCCGAATTCTCTACATCAAGTGGTGTCCGTCAGGACTGTCCACTCTCTCCATTCTTGTTTAACTTTGTCGTAGACATCCTCTTAGAGTTAACATTAAGCTCGTCAGATTTCACATGTAACTGCGGAGAAAGTTACTCAGGGAGGACAGATTGCCGATTGGAAGACAGGATAGGGGAACATATTCCAAAATGGTTAATCAAATCCATGATTCCCCCACCTAGCCCGGCATCTCAAAACCGATCAAGAAACCCAGCCTCGTCCATTGCAAAACATCTAATGATGAGTGGTCATCAAATTGACCCAAAATCAGCCTTTAGAGTTGTGACATGTCATCAAAACCCACACACACTGAAACTACGCGAAGCTATCTTGATTGGTCGGAAAAGTCCAACTTTATGTGTTCGAAAACAACTGTATGTTGACCTTTGTTTACCATGGTTCTAGTGAGTGAATGTCATGCTAAATAAGAAATTTTGACCTTATTTTCAAAACTGTATTTACACAAATAACATGTTGCTTGTATGCGACTGACGAGAAAGCACGAAATGGTACTATCTCACAAAATATGTTTTCTCATTTCTCTATTCAAGTAGGCGAGATATCCGTTTGCTAACCAAAGGTCGAATGTCCTGTGCAGAAGTTCACTTCGTCCTACTTTATGGATGCGAAACATGGTCGGTTAGAGTAGAAGACATTCGTAGGTTATTAGTATTAGATTATGGATGTCTTCAAAGCATTGCTCGTGTATCCTGGAACAACCGAGTAAACAATGCTGCCATTCGGAAACGAGTACTAGGTATGAATGGCAGATCAGTAGATGAAGTAGTGAAACTTCATCAGTTGAGGTGGTTGGGACTTGTGTTACGAATGCCCAACCACCGACTGCCTCGACGAGCTATGTTTTGTGGTGTAGGAGTAGGTTGGAAGAAAGCTAGGGGCGGCCAAACCAAAAATGGCAGAAATCCATGAAGTCAGTGACAAGTGGATTGAGTCATGTTGGTAATGTAGGCTACCTAGTTTGGGTCGAAAGTAACCGATGGTTACAGATTTTGAATGACATGGCTCAAAATCGTTTGAAGTGGCGCAGGCACATCCACTGTTTGTGTTCTCTCAAATCCTAATCCTCTGGATTCATCAACGCCTGTCACGTTTAGTGTATAATAATAAGTCGAACTCACATGGCTTGTCCTCCTAGCCTTTGGACAAATTGAATAATTCATTTTTCTCAATCTATTCACATATCTTTAGAACTTGTCAATTATTCGCTTATAGCAGCTGTTTTTACTTGAGTATGTATGCTTTGTTGGCTTCGCTTGTCTGACTATAAGTAGTTAGTGATGCCTTATCACATTGAGTTGACGCATTCGTATTCTCCGCCTCACTTTGCTTTACTTCGCATTTTGTTGTCTTTTTGCTTTAATGAGTGTATGAAATAAATGTATAGGTTCTCCTAAGAATAATATACAGAAATTAGATGAGAGATTTCATAGCATATTCCATCGTTCTATCAAGATGGAGTCAGATTCCCGGACACTAAACACGTACGTCAGTCAGTCAGTCAGATGCAACGTAGAACTTCGTACGTAAGTGCATCAGTTCATGTTGCCATACCACATCAGCACAGAGATATAATTGTCAATTCAAATCCAATAGTAGTAGAGGTAGTAAGGGAATTAGAAGTAATCGGAGAGGTTAGGGTTAGAAGATACTATTCAAGAAGTATGATTCAGTGAGAAAAGTTTAGAGAGTCGAAACTAGAGGTGTTGAAGAATGCAGAAGATTAGGGTTTGAGAGAACACAAAGAATAAATGCACCGGCGCCATTGCGAACGATTTTGAGCCATGTCATTCAAGGTCTCTAACCATCGATTATTATCATCTCGCGGACCCCAACCAGGTAGTCGACAATTACCGACATGGCTCAGTCCACTAGTCAATGACTTCATGGATTTCTGCCATGTTTTGGTCTGGCCGCCCCTAACTTTCTTCCAACCTACCAAAAAAACACGTACGGATGAGTATTCGAGTCGGAGAGAACGTGGTGAGAGAAATCCAAGGTATTGTATTTGGAATCTGAATAGAGCACAAAGTAATGTACAACCAGGAAAGAACCTGGCACAAATTTAGCTTGGTCCAAGTTGACACAATATCAGCTTTGTGAGGTAACAGAAGTGGTAATATTAGTAAAGATACAAACTAGAAAATATTTTTTGGGAACAAGGAGGAATGGGTTCAGAGATTATGTAGCATGTAATTATATCGGGACTCGGTATCCAGGGTCAAATAAAAATCCACCTACCTCAGTGCTGCTAATTTTAAGCCATGTCACCCAACGTAGAGGTAGTCTGCATCTAACAACACAGTTTAGAGTAGTAATTAGTAACTTCGTAAACTGATTACGCGCCTTGGTATGAATGCCTTTAGATTTCTATCAACGTGCTTTCTGTTAGGATTGAGCGTCAAGGTTGGTACTATCTATAGCGTACGTAATACATGTTTCAGTATCAAATCCCACTATCCTATCTCTAATTAAATGGGTTTTATTTAACTTAAGGGTATTTTTGCGAATTTATACAACCCTTAAAAATCTTGTACTCAAACTTGTTATTGACATCCATTGTTTTTTCTCTTTTAGTTACCTTGTTCAATGTCAGTACACATAGAAAAGACACCCCATACAAATTACAGTAATAATCTCAATGAAAGTCACGAATTCAAAGCGGAATCCCAAGAAAAAGGAGATGGTCAAAAGTCTATAGAAGTTGCAGAGTATTTATTAAATAAAAAATTCTTTTTATCTGCACTCGAATATTATTTTGAACAATTGGAACGTGGCAAAAGTATAAAAGTTTTACATGAATTCTTTACAAGTCCAAATTTTGTTGATAATTTGAACTTATCTTCTGCTGATTCATCTAGTTTATTAATAGGTAAGCAAATGTGTGCTTTTTTTGACCATATATATATTCATTCCTAGGCAAATATCCAAGTCTATCTTCTTTGGGTTCGTCCGACATTGGACGTATATCAGATGATGGGAATACACTTGAAGAAAAATTAAAAGGTATGTATTTTTTTTAAATTTGAAAATAAATCATCGCTTCATGTTTGTTCGTCTTTCTTCTAGTGCTTGAATATGAGTTGCGTAAGAAAAATGATGAAATAAGTGCATTACGGAATGAATTAACTAATTTGGTAGCGTGTGGATTTAAAACTGATGCAACGTCTTTACAAATTTCAGGTAATTCTTTTTTTATTCGTTATTATTTCCTAACTCTACCATGTCTTATGGAAGAAGGTGTGGTTAGTTTTGTTATTTTTTTTATCCGAAAGATGTTAGGATATTCATTTAATATCCTAAGATAATTGTTTGTAAGTCTAATTCAATTGGCTGTCCTAACTATCAATGTCACAGATTTCAATGTTGTTTCCTATTAGACCTAAATATATGAATACGCATTATATGTAACGTTTTATGACCTGGACCCGGACCAGGATCCTTATCCTCTTCTGGACTCGGACCTAGTACTTTCTGGATGTTTGTAGAATACACGTTCTACTTCATATCGAGTCTTCTTCTTCTACCCATGGGGACGCTCGGATTAGAGTAACCTGTCGTGTCGCCGGATTCTCGATCCTCACTCTCGTTTACTGACTAAGGTAAACTCGTAATAGTTCAAACATGTCAAATGACGTATTTGCGAGCTTGCGTGCGTAAAAAAGGGAAAAACAGTTGCTTAATTAGTCTAAATTTGTGTTAAGAGAATACCGAAATTACTTTTATGGTTCTGTAGTGAGTCAAGATACCAGATTTACTATGCTCACCACTAAATATTCCATAATATTCCACCGTCATTAAAATCAAAATAAATCCATGGTTGAGTATTTTATTGAAGGAGAACGTTGGCATTACATGGGGAGCAGGGCATTTAGAAAAATGGCAGCAACGCGAAGAGAACGTTGCGCGCAAGAAGTGTTTTTGGTACAATAATGTTTATTTTTCGAAAATCGTATTTTCTTCGTAGAATCGTTCCATTACAGTTCCATGAATTAGAAAAAAAACGAGGTAACAGGTTAATCAATCGGATCATTTTCCTTTTTATCATAATGATACTTAACGTATGACATATTAAAACAATGCTCAACTATACATATGATATTGAGAACTAGATATGTTACTCATTAGAAGGTCATAAACTTACTACTATCTACGGCTTCAACGTTTAGTACTTTTTGACAGTTGTACTCTTCTTTATTTTTCCACTGATTATTTCGAATAATTCAATGTAAAAAAAGCCTTGAGTCAGTCAGTCAAATACAATGTGGGACCTGGTATGTGTATGTAAATCGGTTCAGGTTACCATACGCCACTAGTACAGCGTGATGAAATTCAGACAAATCTTAGAGTAGTCAGAGGTGGTAACAGTAATGTTAGTCAAACAAAATATTGAAAATCGAAAACGAAATACAGAGAAGAAATCTAGTTCAGTGAAATAAAAAGATTATGAGGAATTTAGAAAGAGAGTTTAGATTGTAAGAGAAGAAGAGGGGTAGATGCAATTGCTCCATCGCAATTGATTTTAATCCACTGTCATTCGAAAGTTTCTAAGCACCGGTTGCGATAATCGGATGGACCTTAACCAGGTATTTCAAATTTATTAGCATAGCCCAATCCTATTGTCTATGACTTTATGAACTGGTACTATTTTGATTTGAACATCCTGCGCTTTTTCCAACCTACTCATACACTCAATACCATCGCTTGTCGAGGTATGCTGTTGTTGGACATACGTAACACATCCCAAACACTTCAGTTGACGAAGATTCACTACCTCATTAATCGGTTTTCTATCTCTACCTGATACCCTGCTCCTAGTAATGTAAAGCTTCTAAAAAACCTTTTGTTGAAAACTAGTAACTTAAGAACAGCATTCTTGGTGTTCATGTTTCACACTCATAAAGTAGAACAAAGCGAATCGCTGCCTAGTAAACTCATCATTTGATTGGTATATGGATGTTCCACATATACCACAAGTGATCCAAGTCGATAAAAACCAGTCGAACTTCCTGAGTTCATTTCGAGATTCCGTCAGTCACTGGACCATCTAGACTGTTTGAAACTCTTAAGATAAATGAAACAGTCGACATGCCCAACTATTTCATCCTTTATCACCAATTCAGGCTCTGGTGTATGGAGAGAGGAAATTGCATCTCAAATATGCTTGCATAAAACAGTTTGAAACTTTATTTCAAATAAATGTAATTATTAACATGGTCACCGGATTAAAATGATCAGTTCTTGCACACAAAATATGTTTTAGTTAAATACTTTATTACCAAATGTATCGTGTAATATTAAAAAAATACATTCATCATACCATATAAGGCAATGAACTGGGATTGGAGCTGACAGTTGCGTATCTGTGCTAATGCGGTTTGGCAACCTTTACTGCTGTACGTACGTACGTACGTACAAAGTTCTACGTTGTAACTGACTGACTGAATTGGGTTATAATAAGCGGTACTTTTTCTAAATCTGACCAAGCACTAGTTTGAATGACTTCTTTTGAAGACACGACTAGTTGAAATTGAAGTACTTGAAACAAGAGATCGAGAGACCATTGTAACAATTTATATTTCTTCAGTGTAAAAAATAATTTCAAGCTCGTGTTACCTATCAAAAGCAGGTGTCTTAAATGATTGTGGTGGTGTTTTGTTCTCTGAGCTGGTTGTTTTGATTGTGGAGCTTTCATTGTTCTTCTGAACAACATCATCAGCACAAACTTCAGATAGAAGTGAAGCATTCGAATTTCTCCACGTTTGACCTGTAGCTTGTTCTGCTAACCTCGACCAACAAACACATCGACATTGACTCAATCTATCAACCAATCAGAAAAATCATAGGATCAAGAAACAGATCAAAAGGGGGGTGCAATCAAAACAAAGTTGCAAACAACGACAGATCAAAAGACAACAGCAACCAATCAAGATCGAGGTTAGCAGAACAAGCTACAGGTCAAACGTGGAGAAATTCGAATGCTTCACTTCTATCTGAAGTTTGTGCTGATGATGTTGTTCAGAAGAACAATGAAAGCTCCACAATCAAAACAACCAGCTCAGAGAACGAAACACCACCACAATCATCCGCATGAGCTACAAGTTTTCTCCACCGTCTTAAATGATTTTAATTAAACTCACAATAAAGCATATTTAGACATAAATTTTACTGAAATATAGTCTAAACTAACTAATAATATCAGCCTACGAAGTGCACTAAATAACAAAAATTGATTGTGCCGCCTCATCCTAGTCAATATGATATATATCTCTCTGGATCACAGAAATATCAAAAGATAACATTAAACTTGTGAAAATATTAAAGAATGATTACTATCCAACAGAAGTCTCACTATCTATACACACTTTTAATCAACTTAAAATGACCATGATAAAAATAGTTTAGTGAGTATCTCAGGAGTTTCCCCAGTGCTGATTGCCTGGTGACTGACGAAATCTCAGCACGGATACAGAAGGCTCGATTGGGTTTCGTCAACATGCTTCACTTATGGCGTAGACGAGATATCCGTTTGCTAACCAAAGGACGAGTCTACTGCGCAGCTGTTTGCTTCGTCCTACTATATGAAACATGGCTGGTAAGAGTAGAGGACATTCTTAGATTATTAGTATTCGATTATAGATGTCTTCGAAGCATGGGTCGTATATCCTGGGATAGCCGAGTAAGCAATGCTGTCGTTAGGAAACGAATTCTAAGTCGGGATGGCAAATCAGCAGATGAAGTAGTGAAACTTCATCAGTTGAAGTGGTTGAGACATGTGTTACGAATGCCCAACGACTGACTGCCTCGAAGAGCTATGTTTTGTGGTGTAGGAGTAGGTTGGAAGAAAGCTAGGGGCGGCCAAACCAAAACATGGCAGAAACCCATGAGGTCACTGACAAGTTGACTGAGTCATGTCGGTAGGTTTCAACTACCTGGTTGTGGTCCTCGAGATGGCTCAAAACCGTTTGCACTGGCGCAGGTGCATCCACTTATGTTCTCTCAAATCCTAATCTTCTGGATTCTTCAACACCTCTACCTTTCTCCTTCTAAATTGTTTTCACTTTTCTCACTGAATTATACTTCTTGAATAATATCTTGGAGCTCTAATCTTCTCCATTACCAGTAATACTTCTACTATCGCTATCACTCTTGGATTTGAACTGACATTTGCGTCTCTGTGCTAATGTGGTATGGCAACCTGAACTTATGTACTCTTGTACGAAGTTCTGCGTTGCAAGTGACTGAATATGAATTTGATTGACCTAAAAGTATTATTTTAACCACATGTCAGTATGAATCGATATTAGAATTAAAAAATTCATAGCCAGATATTACTTACTTACTTACTTACGCCTGTTACCCTTAATGGAGCATAGGCTGCCGTCCAGAGAACTGCTTTTTCTGGTTAGCGCTTTTTTAGCGAGTTGGATTTCTACGGGATGGAGTCGCCAAGCCTATGCTCAACTCTCCTCCTTTATCCTGGCGTGGGACTAGCAGTAACAGTAGAAGGGCTGCAGACGAAGTTGTAACCATATATATACATAACCCAATGAAATATTAGCATTATGAAACGGTTTAATTTTTCCAATTAAGTCTATTGTAGCTAGAAATTCTACTTACCCATAGTATTCCTTTCATTTTCATTCATAATTAAAAAATAACTAGTTTAAACGCCTAATTATCAATTATTTTGTCAGGGTTTTTTTTTCAGCCTGTGAATTATGCAACATTTAAACAATGATGATGATGAAGTAATAATCATTTTTATATATTTTTTTAATTACCTGTCGTTTTTTCGTTTTTTTTTAAAATCATTTCTAAATTCGAAATTGTAGTATATGGTATAGTGTATTTTTCTCTCCGGACAAAATTATTGATTAATGATTTTTTTTTAATCAATGAATGAGTAGTTGATTCAATATTGTTTTTCTCGGTAATTTAAACAAGTAGAGTGATTGATCAATAACCAATGGTTCTTTTATTTATTTTGTTTATCGATTTTTTTTTAAAATTTTCTTTGTTTTCTTACTTTCTCTTCCTCAGATTCAACTTTGAACAGTCATTTTCGATCGAATTTCAATAATGGTGGTACTCAAAAAACCCTGCCACATGAATTACGTGCAATATCATTTTTAATTAATGAATATTTATTGGAACAAAATTTTCGTTTAACTGCAATACAATTTGCTGAAGAAGTTGAAGAACATGGTTTGCCTAGTTTAGAATCATGGTATGAAGTAAGTTTTGAAATGTATAGCCATTTAGGGTTTCTTATCGATGTCACAATCTATAAGAAAGGACAAAAGTCTTTGTGCGACAATCACAGGGGAATAAGTCTAACTAATATAGTATCTAAAATATTGGCCTCAAAACCACGTCGACGCTTAACGGAAGCTCGTGAAGAGCAGACTAGAGAAAACCAATCTGGTTTTCGACCTGGACGTGGATGTATAGACCACATCTTCACACTACGACAGGTCCTGGAACACAGACACACATTTAGACGTCCGACAATCGTCGTGTTCCTGGACCTAAAAGTGGCATTTGACTCTGTGGATCGTGAGGTTCTGTGTCCGTGTCTGTCATTGAAAGGTGTACCAAAGAAGTACATTAACCTTATACAAGCTTTCTACTCAAACACTGCTGGTCGAGTGAGAGCATATGGCGAACTGTCACTGTCATTTGCGTCTCTGTGCTGATGGGGCATGTCAACCTGAACTGATGTACTTACGTACGAAGTTCTGCGTTCTATCTGTCTATCTGTCATTCGGTGTTTATTCGCAGGTATTGTTGTATTAGTGGAGAATGTAAAATTCCGTCTCACTTTCCCAACGGTGGAACAAAATGTAGCCTCATCTTTCATAGTAGGAATTATAACTTTTATTTAAAACTGGTAGACATGTAATTTTTTTATCATCATATTTGGTCTAAAAGTCGTGTTTCATTTAAATTGATTTGTATGAGTATGTAGTATGAATCTGTGTAAAACCATTCACATTAATCCACATATATGGTTGTTAACCCAATTTTATTGTATAGACTATTTGTCACAGATTGATCTCGGTTGGGATATCATTGAGATTAAACATTCCCCTATTATGAATAAGAACTACGTATTTGTTACGCTCATCTCTAGGTATGCTTAAAGTATTAAGGGGTTCACCTTAGTCGAATAACGAGAACAAAACAATGAACCAGCGTCCAGGTAGGCTACTGTGATCCTTTGACCCAATTGTACCAGCAAGAAGTCGTGATATAGCGTAGAAAGTGTATTCTATAATGAATCCAAGCACTCAAATTGCGCCTATTTATACACCATAGAGACGTCCTTGGGACAGTCACAAAAATAGCACACTAAAATGACACAGTAACCAATCATAGCCAAGGATTTTTCTGGTGGGAAATGTGATCTCAAGGTCAACTGATCGGTCCATGAAATAAATCCAAGATAAATATATTTATCAAGCGAGTTCTGGGGATTTTACAGCCCCAACAGTATTATAAGCAAACAACATTGTTTTCAATTCGATCTTCATCAAGCTTTACTCTAATATACATGAATATTTATACACATATATGAAATTATTAAACTAATCCAGACAATTTATTAGTCAATGATAACAGTGGAATAAAAAGTACAAATCAATAACGTTGTGGCGTTAGACTTTCGTTATCTTCGATTTCCCGTATATCTCCGTCTTGATGATCGCTACGAGAGAACACGAGTCGTTGCCACAATTTCTTTATTATTCAAATTATTTAATGATCGATACAAATATCGGATTTAATTCAAATATGTATAGTCGATATTGACATCGAATTATTCAAACTGTTAATCGATACAGCTAGTCAAATAACTACATGTGTAGGTGGCAAGTAATGTCCAAGCGTACATGCGCATACAAGCTCAACAATGATAAAAGTACACGATATATATGTGTGGTGCTACAACGTAACGACATTGAAGTCATCAATCAACCAATCAATCATTGTTGGATCATCATTAGAAGCCTGGAAGCACTGAAAGACGGCCGTTTCGTCCTGGTATGGGACTCATTAGTGCCGGTGCGCATCCACGACTTCTGCCACTCGCAGAATTCGAAAACAGGACCTTCGGTCTTGCACGTCGACGCCTAACCACTGGGCTGGCATCCGACGGTGTTAGTGTCTAACTCTGATCAATCTACAGATTTTGCGCGACCTCACCCATTTGTCTGCGGTAGTTACTGCCTATACCCGACATGAATGATCTCCACTGGTCACGGCCGTCCAGTGCTCCTAGGTTTCTAATGGTTGTCTAACGCTGACTGATTAATTGATGATTTCGATGTGTCAAAACACTAATCTCCATAACTCGAATTGAAAAAATGTGATGGCAGGTGTACTGGTTTGAAAAGAATATGAAAGGCTTCAATCAATATTACATAATAGATATTAGGTCATTCGGTTTTGAAAACTGGACGCAAGAATAACATTCATTCAGAATTACAGATTATGTAATAAAGAGTGTTCAAATAATTGGATAGCGAGGTGTGTATATTAGAAGAAAACAAAATGTAGGGCTGAAGGAAAAAAATAAACCAACAGACAAGGAGTATGGAAAACAATGGGAAATCCGATCAAGGATTGATATAGAGTTGTCACAAATTTCTTCTTAGATTGTTAGTTCGAATCCCCATAGAGGGGTTCGAACCCCACAAGGAAAAGTAGTAGGTATACGATAAATTACTTTAAATAATTTTCTCCTATCTACTATTTGACCACAATCGATCATGTATGATAAAAGCGATCTGCAAATTGTCTTGATTAGGCTATTTGCTAATCACAAAGTGAAGTGTTCGCTAACTCATTAGCTTAGCTGTCTGTCTGGTTGTGCACTCAATATAGCTTTCTCCACAGGAGCAACTGAATTCATCGATACACATATGGATATGGCAGAATCAGGTAACTTATCCTTTAGTTGAGAAATCACCATCATGTTGACTAGAAAACGTAATCTATCATTCTAATGAATGATAATATCCCAACGTCTAGTTTTCCAGGGCATTTGACCTATTATGTGTAATATTGATTGAATCCTTCATTGATTCTTCTGTGAAATCCCATACTATAAAATGAAACAACTAGTTGATTAATACTGTCTGTTTTTCAACGATGTATCGGCTGAGATCAACACATGTGACGGATTCAGCCTACAAATTAAATTCATCATCGCCTACAAAACCTCTTCAAGTCAATTAATTTTTATTTTGCTTCATGTATATTTGTTCGTGTGTGTGAGGGGGGAGGTGTATGGAATTAATTTGTCTTTGAATTATTATTACTACTTATTTTGTTATTGTCTACATTCATTTAAGTATAAATTTCTTGTGCTACACTAATTAAGTATTTTATAAGTAGATTGATTAATGTGTCTATGAAACTAATCATTGTATGTGGTATATTTGTTCATTTCATTATGTATGTAATGTTTATTTATGAACTACACAGTTTAGATTTTAACCAATCGTTTATACTGTTTTTTTTTCAAAAAACAGTATTTTTGATTCATTTTGATAAAATGTACCATGAAATTTGGCAAAATGAAGGATGGCAGATCAATAGATGAAGTGGTGAAACTTTAACAGTTGAGGTGGTTGGGACATGTGTTACGTATGGCTAACCACCGACTGCCGCGACGAGCTATGTTTTGTGGTGTAGGAGTAGGTTGGAAGAAAGTTAGGGGCGGCCAAACCAAAACATGGCAGAAATCCATGAAGTCATTGACAAATGGACTGAGTCATTTTGGTAGATGTAGGCTACCTAGATTGGGTCGGCGAGACGAAAGTCACCGATGGTTAGAGACCTTGAATGACATGGCTCAAAATCGTTTGCAATGGTGCAAGTGCATCCATTCTTTGAGCTCTCTCAAATCCTTATCTTCTGGAATCGTCAGCACCTCTACCTTTGTCTTTCTAACCTTATCTCACTGAATTATACTTCTTGAATAATATCTTCAAACCCTAGTCTTCTTCATTACCGATAATACCTCTACTATCTTTATCACTATGGTATTTGATTTGACATTTGCGTCTCTGTGCTAATAATGTGGTATGGCAACCTGAACTTATGTACATACGTACGAAGTTCTACGTTACAACTGACTGACTAACTAAAATGGAAATTTAAATTGACTCATTAATCAGATACTTAAGATTTTTTCAATTAGAGTTATGGAGATTAGTGTTTTTAAACATTGAAGTTATCAGTCAATCAACCAATCATTGTTAGACCACTATTAGAAACATGAAAGCACTAAAAGACGGCCGTTTCGTCCTGGTGTTGGACTCATCAACAGTGCGCATCCACAACTACTACTTGCAGAGTTCGAAGACAGGACTTTCGGTCTTGCGCACGAACGCCTAATCACTGGGTTGGCATCCAATGTTGTTAATATCTAACTCTAAACTCACCCATTTGTCTTCGGCAGTTACTGCCTACGCCCGACAGGGTTGAATTACACTGGTCACGTCTTCTCACTAAAATTATGAGAATCGCCTCACAAAGCTAGTCACTAGTGAGCACATTGTACGATTTTTTCAATTAGAGTTATGGAGATCAGTGTCTCTACACATTGAAATCATGAATCGATCATTGTTAGACCACCATTAGTATGAGCCACACCTTAAGGACTAATATGATCATTGCCGGGTGTGTCAAACTGGCGTAACTGGAGAGAGATTTAAATTTGATGTTGAATGATTGAACATAGAAGATTTTAAACGCCAAGTTATCATCATTTGGTAGCAATATTTGTAATCTTATACGTAAACACGTCAATCCGTTATTGTTGATTAAAAATTACACATACTGTCATCAGTCAGTCAGATGCAACGTAGAACTTCGTACGTAAGCACATCGGTTCATGTTGCCATATCACATTAGCACAGAGATGTAATTGTCAATTCGAATCCAATAGTAGTAGAAGTATTTAAGGTATTAGAAGTAATCAGAGAGGTTAGGATGAGAAGATATTATTCAAGAAGTATGATTCAGTGAGATAAATTTAGATTATAATATTTCTCTGTAGTTCTTTTCTATTTGACTAGAATAAAAAGAGTAACTTTTAACTGCTTAAAATAGTTATCTACACTTGAGCGGAGTGGTATGGGATTGGACGAATCCCGTTCAGGTATCTACATACACATTTACACTTGATTCAAACCAATAATCAATAACTTCATACTTTTTTGAACCCATGTCTTAACTTAATCGTTCTTATGTGTATTTTTGTCAGTTTAGTGCCTGACTAAATGAACCAAACAGAGGAATTATTTGGTTTTTACTTTGTTCGAAAGTTTTCATTTCATTTCAATTGATCTTATCGTATGTATATTCGTATTCTAAGTTGCGTTGTAAACTATGCCGTCATATATATATTTTTTCTTGTTATTAAATTTAAGGTTGCAGTAAATTTACGCAAACCTCCTAGCTTATTATCTTTACTTCGATCATATTGGCATCCAATGACTGTTTCACAGTCATCATCATCACAAATTTCATCAAATCGATTAGATGTATCCTCGGCCAGTTGTAAATTTTGTGAAGTTGCTAGTCAAACTGAATCGGATCCAATTGTTTATACTGTTACAGCTGGTTTCAATGAACAACATTCTTCAATGGAAATTCAAGCTAAAGTAAGATTAAAAATTTTTTTTTGATAATTAATAAGTTTTCTCAAAGTTGATAACTTTCATTGTTAATTTGTATGTTTAATGTTATGTAGACAAGTGTGTTGTTGACCACAGGAAATAGCAGATCAATACAACCCAAATTGCCTAGGGGCGGCCAGACCAAAACATGGCAGAAATCCATGAAGTTACTGACAAGTGGACTGAGTCATGTTGGTAGATGTAGACTACCTGGTTGGGGTCCGCGAGACGAAAGTCACCAATGGTTAGAGACCTTGAACGATATGGCTCGAAATCGTTTGCAATGGCGCAAGTGCATCCATT